CTGGGTGGCTCAGCCGTGCTGCGTATTCGGTGTGTTGCGGTGGTGCTGGGAGCCCAGCCAGGGAGCAGGCCCCCTTGCGCCGGGCGCTGCACAGACACAGAACTCGGAGATGGGCCCTGCCCCGAGGAGCTCACGTGCCCTGGGCTGTGGGTCGTTCCAGACGCCCTGGCTAGACGGTCCCTGTCTGGGCAGCTGGGGGCGCTGGACGGCGCGGTGAGAGCAGGGGGCGCCCGGCGGCTGGGGGCTCTGGTGGGAACGTTGCTCTCTGGGCTGGCGTCACTCTGCCCTCAGTGGCTGCTGCCCCTTTACGCCTGGTCAGTGCCCAGCCCTGGGTCTTTCTGCCCCCGCCCCAGCACAGGCCCTGGGACCCGATACACGGGGGGACGGTGCCAATAGCGCTGGGAAAATAGCGAGAGCCGCACGTGGCCCCGATGATTCTTGTTACAGCTGCAGGTCGGTCGTGGTGGAAGAGAGTCACAGCCCGATTTTCCTGTGCCTGTGACTCACCCAGCAGCTGCAGCTCCTGTCCCACCGTGTCCCCTCTCAGTCCCAGGGACACTGGAGCTGCTGCTGACCAGGGTGAGTGCGAGGCCGGCTCCCTTTCCAGCTCCCTGGCCTGGCGGAGCGTGCTGCTGCGGGTGGTCGGCGCCCCCGGCTTTGTCAGGGCATTTGTTAATCTTCCCCCCGACTTTCACTAAACTCACCACGTGCGAGCGGTGCCTAGGAGGGACCACACTGAGAATGCCACACTCAGGGCAGACACACCCCAAAAACTGGCAGTTTGCTCTAGAATTAGATTCACCCAACCAGTACCAAAGTGAGCGTCTGCAGCCCCCCACTGGTTAACCAGAAGCCAAACACAGCCCCTGTTAGACACCCCAGCCCCTGGCTCCCGGCCAGGCAAACAGGGCTCAGCTAGCGAGAGGTGACGGAAAACCCAGTTCACCACACAGGAGGTTCTTCCAATCCCAAAGGATCAGACTCTGACCCCCAGGGCAATTCGTATCTCAGATCTTACCCCAGTACCACCCTGTCAGCCAGTCCTCAGTGAGCTAACGGAAGATTTATTAATAAAAGAAGAGAGAGTTATAAATGGTTCATAGATCAGGTACATACAAGTGATTGCAAACTCTTCCGATCAGCTCTGTCGCGGCGATGCAATGGACGGCTGGCTGGAAAAGTCTCTCTGGTAACTTCCAAACGAAGTTCAAAACGCTCCTTTTAGTTGTAAATCCACAGTCCAGAGAACTGGAGCAGGAGTGAGGCAAATGGAGGGTCTCTGCTGTCTTTTATACCCTCTGCCGCATGCGTGGACATTTACTGTCCCAAGCAAAGCCACAGCCCCCGTG